TTCTTAATATAATCTCGCAAAGTTTCTATGCTCTTTGTGTCATTGATATCCAACTGGTGAAAACGTGGATTGAGGCCTTCTTCCTTAAGGTCCGATACAGCTTTTCGCCCTCGCTCTTCATCACGCGAAGTAAGGTAAACAATGCCTTTAAATCGTTTGCATAAGCCACGCACTATTGCAAATCCGATGCCCTTATTTCCTCCAGTTACTACAGCGACTTCGAAAGACATTTTTGTAAGTTCACTAACAATTATATGAAAGAACCAAATGCACACTGAACAAGTGATGAAAATACCGGCCGGACGGATTGGATTCTATATTTTCTACTCTTCGGTGACTTCTGCCTCGAATGCTATGACTGGCAGTTATAGACTTCGTTTATGCTATTTGTGTTAAGATTTTTAATGATTTAATACCTACTAAACTACTACTAAACGCATTACTTAATAATGTGCAATATTCTATTCAGAATGAGTTGGACTTCTGACACGGTAGGGCAAAAAACATATTTTGCCGTTTTGTTTTTTTTTCTTTTTTGTTGAAGTTCTCCCGTTTTAGGGAAGGCAAAGGGAACAATGCCCATACAGCCTAGTCTTTAATTAAATTTATCTTCTTTTTGTTTTTACATTAGAATGTCGGTGTGACGCATTCTAATGTTTCTTGGAGTGTTTGGCACGAAATGTATCGAGTTGGCTTTTTCGATAAGCTTCTGTGAGGTAGTCAACACTACAATAAAATTCTCACGTCCACTTGACCGGAATAGCGCATATTTTAATGATTCCACTAATTCTTCAGTTACGCAGACAGTTGTTACACAAAACCACACCAATTTTATTTCACAATATCCACTATGAACGAATTTAAGAATAATTAAAATAAGACGCCAACCGCACTCGATGAAATCCCGCCAAAAAAGGCTTTTTTTTTTTTTAATTTATTCTGGCCTTGGAGACTTAGTTTTTTAGCCGAGGAATTGTCTTTGTTTGAAGCAGGGTTACCAGATGCAATTTTATGATTTTGTCCAAACTGATGTCTAAATTTCCCCAAAATGATACTTTTTCTAAAGGAAAACCCCCAATCGTTTTGTTACTAAAAGCCACTTTAAAATTAATTTATCAAGTTTGGGCTTTTACATGTGAAAGTTGAAAGAATTGCAATGCTACGGTGAGAGACCTTGTACTAAGAAGAACCGGCAAGAAACTCAGCAAGTCTTAAAGTAACTATAGTCTATTCACTTTGGCTTGAGACAAAATGTAAACAAAGAATCTGAGGTTCTAAAACTTTTATAATGTCAGAAAGTACCCACTAGTCAATGATTATGTATAATTTATGTTACCTATATTTTTTTTAAATTAACAACTTTATACTTTACAGAAAAAAATAAAAACAAACTCAACTAATATAACAAGAATTTAACAAATATGATAGAATATGCATGCTCGCGTCAACAGGTTGATTAGGAGAGTAAAGATGGCTAACGTAAACCAACCGATTATAAAACACAACACTTCAACGTAAAATACTTATGTCTACTCTTCAGTTTTGTCGTATTATAATACGTCTTAAGTTTGGGAATGATTGTGTTTTTAGGTCTTTTTCCATGTCAACTTAAGTTGTTAAAATACTTTTATCACCAAAATAAAATTATACGAACTTATGATGAGTATGTACGTTAAATAAATGTGAAATATTTTATTCTATTATTCATATGTATGTAACAGATTTTAAAATAATTAACTTAATGTTTCCCTGCATTTCCTAAGCAAATAGTATTTAATCTTTTCTTTTGTCAAACGTGACCTTAAAAAGTATCCTTTTTATGGTTTGTTTACATTTTGTCTCACGCCAATGTGAATAGACTATAGCTAGACTATTTTGAAATGGCTTTGGATTCTTGCATATTAGCCAGGATGATAGTCGAATGAAAGGGATGTTTATTTCAATGCCTTGTTCATTTCATATATTTAAGAAGTGCTATCCCCAAAATTCCCCATTATGTATTTATTTTCTCTAACAGTTTCCTCAGATTGACTTCTGGATGGAATTTTTCCCAGAATAGCGAAAAAAACTAACCCACTCCGGTAACGCTGTCATGTCATCATGTCATGATGTCACGTGGATGCCTTGCATGAATGTCACATTACAGCACAGATTACAGAAAGTACAGAGGTGCTCCTTCCCTTACTAGAACATTATTTTGTCTTTGCTATTCAGTATTAATTTGTGTCTAGTGCCAGTCACCCCAATGTGTGCAAACATTCGTAAATAAGCGCGTCTACAGGTAGCTTTCCAATTACTGCATTATAGCGCATTATGCGGCATAATGCTTAACGTTGAGTGTTCCAACTACAGCGACGCTTCGCACAATTGAGCACTCTCAAAAGTAATGCTTTGTGCTTTCGTGTGATGCGTGCAATCGTACCAACTCAGAGACAGAAAATTAACAAGTGTTTTTACTTTAAATTGGCATTGATCGAATGTTTTATTTAAGTATATGTTATCGTTAGTAATATTATTTATTTTTGAAAAAATATTAAAACTCGTTTCATCATAGTTTTTTTTTAAATAATCAAAGTTAATTCAAACTGTGTTAAAAATTAAATATAAATATGAATGAAAGTACAAACATTGACTTTTTTTTTCAACACTGAACTTAGCGCACTCTGCTAGTGCATTTGAAAACTAATTCACGTTCCAACATAATTCGGCATTGTGCGGCACTGAGTCGCATTATGCTCCAGGGGTGCTCAATCTTGAACTGCTGGCGATCTACCTCAAATTTTTTTAGACTACTTTTGATCCACTCTGAGAGGCTGCAAGTATGTGTGATGCAGGGTTGTCGTACATACACGATACACCCCACCTACCTAGGTAGGATGTACCGTAGCTTAAATAGTTAATAGCTTTCCGCACAATAAACATTATTTTAGTCAAGGTTTGGGTTAGGTTTAATTAAGTTCTTCTCTACAATATTAATGAAAAAACTCATAGTTATTCAAAATTGCGAGTTTATTGGTTGTTACAAAACAAAAGAGTTACTTAAGGTGTTAAACTTAACTAAAGAGTGACTTTGGATGTTGAATCGTGGCACTGCATGACCTCAGCATACTTTTCATAAGATGGTACGAGTACATAAAGACTGAGTGCTTATCGCAAGCATGCATGATGACTTATGATCGTCAGTTAGTCGATTGAGATATTTTGACTTAATTAAATCTTCATTTCAGAAAATGCAGAGCCGCACAATAAGGGTAATTCCTCAATGTTTTTTTTATTTACACAGGTTTTTTTATAAGTTCATAGACATGATTCATTTTACATTGAAATCAGGATGTAACCAGGAGAAACGTATTTTTGTTATCTTTAAAATAATGCTTGCCGTAGAGGCATTCCGTATGGGAGCTAGGGCCAAGCACGAACTTCGACAGATAGAGGGCGCTGCTTAGTTTTCATAGAAACTTTGACGATGCGATACGATTATGAAGTTGTAAAGTTTGTGCTTGGGCGTCTGGTAACATTTTACGATGCTAAGTATCAGTTTTGTTGAAGTGAAACTTCTTTACGCACGCTCGACTTGAGCAGTAAGCTGGCGAACGCGTTACAAAGTGTGATTGGGCGAGGCGAACGGGAGTTGAGTGGGGGATTTAAGCAAGAGAAAGCAGTGCGCGCACACTTTCTCTCTCTTTCTCTTATAGGTAGTAAATGAAATATGTATATTATGGGCCCATTCTTCTATTTTTATTATTTAAAATGGTCCGATTTTCACCGAGACGGATTTTACGCGATGACCCGTAATACCCAGAAGATAAAGGATATTGTTACGTGTACGGGACACACACACACACACACACACAACAAAGAATAATAATAAATAAATATTTCCAACACTCACACCAATTAGCCTAGCCCCAAAGTAAGCACTGTAAGGCTTGTGTTATGGGATACTAGGGTAACGGATAGAATACATATATAAGTATATTTATATAGAAATACATATTAAACATCCATGACTGGAGTACAAATGCTCGTATTCATCACACAAACATCTGCCCCCACCGGGATTCGAACCCAAGACCTCCCGAGTCGGTGACACCATGAAACCCGGCGTATAAACCACTCGGCCACGGAGGTCGTCAAAAGCAGTTTCACTTCAGTTGTGTGGTTATATGCACACTCGTTTTTTATTTATTTAAAGTTTGTAGTGGTATATTCTACATGATTCAAAATTAAAACGAAGCATAAAAATATAAGTATAATTTATTTATTTTATATGTCTAAAAATGAACACATACAATTTCATATGTAAAATAATACAAGAATGATGTTAAAATTACAAACAGAGTTTCCTGCATGAACACCGCGACAATATGTAACGCGTTATTATCACGCTCATGTGTCAAATTACTAGGGAGTTTGACAGTTAGATGCGATATAAAACGTTATATAATGTAAATTGTAGTGGTCATGCTACGGAGGCTGAGCGTTAATTTATTATAGAACTCCCTACTGGCTGTTAGTAATCAATGGTCATCATCATCAGCCTATTAATGTCTCTACTGCTGGGGCACAGACCTTCCCTATGAATGGAATACCCGTGCCTTCCGAAACACGGAGGCATCCGAGAAAGAGAAGATAGAAGATGGATGGATGGTCATTGGATGGGTGACCAGAAATCTTCCACCTAGAGTTCCTCCGTGCTTCGGAAGGCACGTTAAGCTGTTGGTCCGGGCTGCATCTCGCCAATCCACACTGGGTCCGTATGGGTCATGGCCCAATCTCCCTATTCCATCCATAGGCCTGTGCCCCAGAGTGGGGACATTAATAGGCTGATGAGGATGATGATGATACTGTCATTTTAGAAATAATCCTATTGCATCATAAAGAAAGAGACAGTCAAGACACAACGTCTCTCTTTATAAGCGTTTCATTCAATCAGCAAATTGCAATGTCATCCAAGTTTTATCTATATATTTTTTTTATTATTAACAGAAAACATATTCTATATTCTTACAACTAAATGGAAGGAATCTCGCCTTGGAGTAAGGCACATTGAATTAAGTTCAATAGTTATTATAATAAAAACTATACTTAAGCACCAATCTTCTATGAGTGTTATCTGAAACAATGATAAAATATTTTTTTTTTTATTAACAAACAGTTTTGTCTTTTTAACACATTAATTAACACAGTGGTTAAATGTAAAGAAAATTTTACTAGAAAAATTTCCACGCGGATATATTTTTATACATATACAGTGGTGGTCATATAATTAGAAACACTTTTTATGAATAAAGAAAGTATAACTTCAACGTACAAATGTTCGTAAAATATATCCCCTTTCAATAATTAATAATCATGCAATAATATAGCCACTCAAATAAAAAACTCATTAAATGCATAAAATGTAAAACATATCTTGCTTTTAATTATAAATGAGTCTAATACATGTAGGAGTTTATTTTCAGTCACTGGCCGCTTGGACGCTTTTTTTTAAATAGAAACATTAAAAAAAAGTATTCATAGCTTATTCTTTTTTTGAAATTAGAGATTCTTTTTTCTAAATGGCTTGGCACGGCTTGTGCATTTAGCCAATGTCAAGTGTTAAAATGTTTACAAAATGTATAGCACTCGTGGTCAAAGTAATAAATCAAGTCAAAGTAAGTGGCAGTCAAGTCAAACCACCTTTCCCTATGTTTCAGTAAATGTGTGGGGATTTACTGGAACCTCCCCGTGAACTTCTTGAGGGAACGTCGAAAGACACTTTCCGCTATTTTGTTTCACTTGCCAACACTTGTGCATGTTCCCGAACACTTAATGGTTAATAATCCATCATTATTAGACACTAATATCCGCCACAACACAATTTTTAACAAGAAAAACAAAACTGCTAAATTTACGCTTCCCGATCCCGCCAAAAAGTCTAATTGGAGAATAACACTTGTTTCTTTGGCTTTTTCTATTATTTTGCCGGCAATTCGAAATTTAATCTGACAGCTCAGCGTTCAGCATTCAAAATATAAGGCACGCCATCGACTATACTGACGTCTCCCACGAATCCTACGAAGAACAAATCCTCCAAAAAGGACCCGGTGAAAATCCTCAACCAAGCGTTCCGTGGTCGGTCATTGGATGGGTGACCAAAAATGACTATCTCTCACTCCTCCGTGCTTCGGAAGGCACGTTAAGCCGTTGGTCCCGGCTGCATCTGCAGTCGTTAGCACCCACCAATCCGCACTGGGCCCGCGTGGTGGGTCATGGCCCAATCTCCCTATTCCATCCATAGGGAAGGCCTGTGCCCCAGCAGTGGGGACATTAATAGGCTGATGATGATGATGATGATGATGAAGCGTTCCTTTATAAATTAACTAGCGGCCGCCCGCGACTTCGTACGCGTGGAGTTAGTTAGAAATAAAGGTTTACTGCTCGTTCCCCGTAGGTGATAGCGTGATAATATATAGACTATATATTGACCCGACTTTTTATTAATATTCGTGCCAAATTTGAAGTAAATCCATGCAGTACTTTATGAGTTTATCCCGGACACACATACAGAGAAACAGACATAATTCTAAACTATATATTCAATGTACAGTATTGATTTAACTACCGTTTTATTATATGTATAGATATTTTTTCCCAGCCTTAAGCTGCAATGCAGCGCCATCTCTTCGCATTATAGGTAACCCACAATGTCAAATGAATACTTTTTCAAGTATTGAACATTTGGAAGAAGAAATAGCAATTATAGTTATGTTTTTTATTTTTTTAAGAATTTAACTGCTAGATGTATAAATCTAAAGAAAAGTTGTACTAGAAAAAAAAACACGCGGACCATCAGGGCCGTGGTAGCATAATTGGTCAGTGCATGTTCGGATTGCGAAGGGTGTGGGTTCGAGTCCCGTCCACTGCCGGGTCCGCGTGGATCTTTTTCTAGTAAAACTTTTCTTTAGATTTAAACATCTAGCAGTTAAATGGTTAAAAAAAACATATGTATAGATTAGTGATGTAACGAATGTCATTTTTTGAACATTCGCGAATGCGAATGCGGATGCGAATGTCTGGTACCGACATTCGCGAATGCGAATATTTAGTTTTTTTAAATTGGCGCCAATTGTCTATGGCATGGTAGCAGTCTCGTTCGAATTGCAGAGTTGATATGAACTCATCCGACTGAAGTGTCATTCCGCTCGCACCGTTCTTTCCGTAAACAAAACAAGTGAATTTTGAGGTTAGTGATTGTGAGCGGTAATAGTGATTTATTAATATGAGTAAATCGAATTCTAGTGAAACATGGACTTATTTCACACTGCGATGCTGAACGAGCTAAATGCAAACTGTGTAACAATGAATATTCAAGGAAAGGCAGAACTACAACTTCTTCAAATTGTTTTTTTCTAATATTCATATTCGTAAAACATTCGCAGAGATTTTGCGAATGCGAATGTGAATGCGAATATTCAAAATTATGCATTCGTTACATCACTAGTATAGATAATATATAAAAGCACTCACATCTCAACGTTCCGCATTCAACAGATAAGGCACAGCATCGTCTATACTGACGTCTCCCACGAATCCTACGAAGAACACATCCTCCAAGAATGACCCGGTGAAAGTCCTCAACACTGGCAACTGCAGTAACAGTGTTGCCAGACGCTCCTCTTCAGGTTGACAGGAAGCTTTCAGGGACCGAAGCACCTTTATCTGGTACTCTTGCAGCTTGCGAGTTAGGAAATCTGGCACGCCATCTGTTAGAAACAAAATAATATTTAAAGAAAAGTTTACTAGAAAAAAATCCACGCGGACCAGGCAGCGGACGGGACTCGAACCGCATCCTTCACTGTCCGGGCGAATGCACTGACCATTATGCTACCACGGCCCTATTAGCCGCGTCGGAATTTTCCTAGCCTTAAGCTGCAAGGCAGCGCCATCTCTTCGCATTGTAGGTAACCCACAATTGGTAGCATAATGGTCAGTGCATTTGCCCGGATAGCGAAGGATGCGGGTTCGAGTCCCGTCCGCTGCCTGGTCCGCGTGGATTTTTTCTAGTAAACTTTTCTTTAGATTTAAACATCTAGCAGTTAAATGCTTAAAAAATAAATAAAATCATAAAAATAATATTTTATTATTAGTTGTCCAAGCGAACTTCGTACCGCCATAAAAATAGGGGCAGGTGGTAGAAGAGAAAATTTAGGGTTGTATGTATTTTTAAAACCATATTAAAAAAAAATGGCCAGAAAAAAATTTTGGGTTGTGTAACATAGTGTTCTATCAATTTCCTGGGATAACATTCCTCCTAAGGGGCCGTCCATTAATCACGTGATGTTTTTTTTGGCATTTTTTAACCCCCCCCCCCCTCCCCCTTGGTGATACACGGTGAGGTTAAAGTCTAGCCCGCCACCCCCCACCCCATATCACGTGTATTTTTAGTACCTACAAAGAATCTTATTTTTTTAAACTTTTAGAGGTAGACAAAAATGTTGTTTTTGACTGACATCAATATAATGAAAGAAACTGAACAATTTATATATACAGTATCCTCGGACCACGTAAATACACGTGATATATTACTACACCCACCATCCCCCCTTGTGATATTTCGTGTTTTTTTACGGACCCCCCCCCCCCCCTTTTCGAGCCTCACGTGATTAATGGACAACCCCTAACCTATATGAGAACACTACGTTACAATACCCGATAGTTTGAATATTGGCGCGAAGGCGCGTTGTAGGGTTCAGAACAGCACGTTACAGGTGGAAAACCATTATCACTTAAGGATATGAAAAATAGATAGTAGCCGATTCTTAGACCCACGGAATATGCATATAAAATTTCATAAAAATCGGTCAGGCCGTTTCGGAGAAGTATGGTTTGGTAACTAACATTGTGACACGAGAATTTTATATATAAGATAGTTTAAATGTTAAGCATTTAACTGCTAGATTTATATCTCGGAGGAAAAAATACTAGAAATAAAAACGAGCGAGCCTTACAGTAGTCGCGTATGATGTGTAACATTTGAAACCTCACCTTATATTAGTAAAAAAAGAAATAAAATCTACTACAAAAGGAATAAGCCATTTGAACATTATGTTCTAAAATCAAATCGAATAGCGCGCGCTTTCGCGACTTCCTGTTACACACTTCCGTCCCATTTCACGAAATCACTCCCACAAATTGCAGGAAAGCGAGAGGAAAGATGTTACACATAAAAACACGTGATATAATGTAAATTGTATCATATTTGTATTGTATTGCTCATGCTACAGGGAATGGGGGAGGGGGGCGAAGATGAAGTCACGTAACGTGACTCGTGACATGACGTCACACTTTTTCATGCGTGCAGCTGGTGTGCATCGATGTATAAGACGCTATCACGTCAAAAAATCCACCTGGATTTCGGAATTCTGATGACTGGACCGTGTGGAATTATTTCTAGTAATATTTTCTTTAAATAAACATTTCTAAGCACAAGCACATGTGACAGTCGTAAACTACGTCATCTATTCGCAAATGTAGGGCGGGAGACCCTGTACTGAGAAGAACTTGCAAAAAAACTCGGCAATTCGGTTTACTCACTTTATTATTGACTACAATATGAGATAATTCACGAAATCCGGCACTTCTTTAGGCATTGGGTATTCAAGTTTGATGTTCGTAAACTTAACATTGGTCTATCCTTTTCATTCCTTACAAAGCATTATAAGGACAGACTGTTATCATGTTTTACAAATAGCAAATACGAATAGCCAATTGAAGTGCCGGCATTACCTCGAGTAGTCATATCAAGAAGCGTAGTTCTGTTTTTAGTAATGTTTATAAGAGTAGTCTATTTATTCGTGTAGCCGCTAGTTCCATATATTTATTCAGTCTAGTCTTATTAACATAGGTAGAAAATATATTTTTATTTTTAAGCATTTAACTGTTTAAATAAAAAGAAAATTTTACTAGAAAATATTACCGATGCCCTGACCATTATATTACCGCAACCGCATAATGGTCAGTGCATCCGGCCGGATAGCGGAGGTTGCGGGTTCGAGTCCCGATTCCTGCCTGGTGTCCGCGTGGATTTTTTTCTAGTAAAATTTTCTTTATGGTTAGTAATGTCTATTCATCATCAGCCTATTAATATCCCTACTGCTGGGGCACAGGCCTTCCTTATGGATGGAATAGGGAGATTGGGCCATGACCCACCACGCGGGCCCATTGCGGATTGAGTCATGACCTAACACGCGGCCCCAGTGCGGATTTGGGCCATGAACAACCACGCCAGCCCAGTGCGGATTGGGCCATAACACACCACGCGGGCCCAGTGCGGATTGGTGGGTGCTAACGACTGCAGATGCAGCCGGGACCAACGGCTTAACGTGCCTTCCGAAGCACGGAGGAACTCGAGATAGAAGATTTTTGGCCACCCATCCAATGATCGACCAATGTCTATTGTTCTAGTAATATTCACCTGGTGAGAACAGACACAGTGCCCGTAGATGGGCATGCTCCCTCTCCGTGAGTCGCAGTTGTTCTACAAAGGCCAGGAACTGCTGCAAGCGTGACAGCATGCTGCCCACTTCGGCTATACGCTCGTCGGAATAGTCCGCGGCTGTTATCTGGATAGAAAAAATAAAAATTACGTGCCAAAGAAAAAAAAAATGGTTGCCTGTAAAGTCGGTTTTACGGGCGAAGATTTTACGTGACAACGTCTTTTTCTCGGTAGAATATTTATTGATATGAATATAATTAAATTGCACAATAGGAACAAGGAATTGAATGAAAATAAGAATTGCACAAATTTTAACTATAGAAATATATTTTGTTTACTAAAACATTGTACATGTAAACTTAAACTTAACACGAGAGACTCATCGTAACGTTACCGAGCGTTACACTTTTTCATAAGTGACTCCCAGCCGCAACCTAATTTAAGACGTTGTCACGTCAAAAATACGTCTTTCGATGGTAGCTCGACAAAGTAAATAAAATCAGTTTGGGGTATTTGTTTCTTAGGTTTTCACGCACATCACTCATTAAATAAAACGGAATCAATTTTTTATTATTATTTTCATAAATTTCGTGCATTAACCCGTGAAAAACTAGTTTTATCATAATAGGGTATTTGACAAGTTTTAGAAAACGATCTCACGTTATTGACTAATGTTTATGGAGTCCGCAAACAGTGGATATTCATCATTCTGTTGTGTATTTCAGTAAAAATAACCGAATCTAAAACTCAATTTTTAAGTTGCCGCGAAAACACTTATCTGGACAATATGGCGTCTTACTAGTGTGTGACGTCAAACGACTGTTATTAAAACGTCAAACGATACAATGTAATGTCACTTTAACCGGAAGTTTACTTGCGTGTGACGTCATTTTAGGCTCCGCCAATCCGAAGCGTTTTGGGTCACGTGACAATAGATAAGAAAACTATTATATTTTTCGTGGGTTTTTAGTAAAATTATGAATATTTTTTCCGTAAAAATAGTGAAAATCCCTGCCAATATTCATTCTAGACACAGATGCTAACAATTGGCACTTTATTTTTAATACTGGCAAATACCCTTTTCTGACGACGCAGCCTGAAAAGGATTCGAAACGTCAAAAATAAATAAATCAGTGCATCTGTACCGTTGAAACTTGTATTAATAGACTTGTTTAGCTGTTTCATTCTCAAAACAAAAATGTGTGCGTGTACTAGTGTACACAGGTAAGAAGTGAAACTTCTTTATGGCCTTATTTTTTTCGAAAAATGATCTACATGCAACTTTCCAGAAATATATATATAGGCGTGCGCTAAGATTTTTCAAAAACTCACCCACTAAAGGGGTATAACTACACCTTACCTTACCTTGTGTGAAACACGAATATTTGCTGTCGATACTTTTTTTTTTAAAGTTGACAGAAGAAGCAATTGTTCGGATGAGGTAAATAGTGCTCTTTTAAAAAAAAGATGGCGCGTAACCAAAAAACGTGACGCGTAACCGAAAAAATGTGACGGTAAATTTTTTTCCAACGCCGATAAAGAAGTTTCACTTCAAAAATATGACAAAGTACCGGGTCGACCGAGTGAAATATCAATTAAGGTTTTCATGATGATTTACACAAGTAGTTTACGCCGCTGTGGCGTTTAGGTGTCAGGAGGTTTCGACGCGAATTCACGTAGAGTTTTATAGGATGAAGACTTCTGGCCGCGGACTTTTTTGGGCTAAACTGTACTTCCGGGGCTCAAGCGGTGATACTTCACACTATAGTCTGTCCCAAACGAATTTAGACCAAAAGTAAACAAAGGTGTTCGTCAAGTCTGACCATATTAGTGAAGGGGTTTCATAGAGCCTTATCAAAATCAATTGATTAATTGAATTATGTTAGTTATTTAAAAGCGGAGCTAAGAAAAATCATTTTGTCCTTCCTTTTTTTCGAACTCAACGGCACTGCACAAAACTGCGGCATGGCCGATTATGTCTACGACTACATAAATATGATTTATAATGCGATTCAAATAAGAATACGAAAGCCAATGACCTCTATCTGTCAAATGTCGTTTGAAAAGTACGGTTTGCAAATAAAAATCTTGGAACCGTTTTTTAGCACTCGGCTAATTCTAAAATAAAAACCAAACATTTGTAAACAAACAATAACAAATATTGATAATTAATATCGGTTGATATTTTTTTCACTTATTGAGCTTTGGCCATGAATGGTTGATAACCTAAATCGTCAACCAAATGTAGTGTAATGTAGAAATTCGATTTTAAACTTTTGTTTACATAAAGGATGCATGTTCGTTAAGTGACCTAGTAAAAGTGCATGATTATTCATAACTACTCCGGCGGTAATGCAGAGATGAGCGGAATAGAAGAGTTAGATTCTGATTAATGATTTTTCTCACAGTCTTAATAAATAAATATTATTAAAAATCAGTGTTTTTTTTTCTCAATATTAGTAAATAAATTTTATTAAAAAAATCTGATGTTTTTTCTGACTTAATCTAAGTAAATAACTTTTATTAAATAAAAACTTTTTTTTTGCTCACTCTACCTATTTGGTTTGAATTGACAGCTATGACATCACAATATGGCGCCCAGTCGGTCCTATTCTTAGTTGAATCGCATTATAAATGTAAACTTTGAATGCGCGCGCGTATTAAACAAACTTAAAAACTACACTTCAGGACCTCAGTCAACAGTGGTGCTATCTTGTGAATCATAAAACTATAGCCCTGAATAACGATGACATGTCGTCACCGTTATTGAATTATTTATATAAAGGTACATCAACAGCATAACATACAAGACATTCATAATATATATAGAGAGGGTTTTTACTGTATACATATGTTTGCCAATTAAAGATATACACAACATTTACACCATATCGTTTGACATAAATTAAAATGAAAAGAAACAAGAACATTATCTATAACAATTACTGCTATTATTGATTTATCATTACCATTATATTTTTTTCTATGTATGCATGTGTCATATATTTATATTATATGTATATATCTTATAGTCATATTATGTATGTATGGTATGTATACATATATATATTTAATATAATATAGTTATATAAATTTTTATATCCCTTGTTTCTTTTATAACACCACCGACTCCAGTTTCTTTCAATCCTCTCCGTCCAAAGGTTGTCTGGAAGAAATCGCTTTTAGCGAAAATACCCATTGAATCACTATGTTTAAATGCATTACGCATTTACCCTATTTATGTACTGTACTGTGGTGCTTTCAATAAAGAATTGTGTATTGTATTGTTATACTGACCTCGGGTTGCACTAACTCCGTCCGGTCCAAACTGTCGGGTCCGCCCCGGTCCCTCAGCACGGTCTGCAGATGGCTCACCAGCAGAGGCAGTAACGAGCACAGAGACAATGCCTGCGAGAACTTCGCCAAGCCCAACACGAACAGCTCGGGCCAACACTTCTTCAATAGAGTCACTTGGATTTCAAACCTGTGTGTGGATAAAAAGTATTGTTTTATTTATATTTATTAAGTATTTAACTGCTAGATGTTTTAAAGAGAATGCCTGCGAGAACTTTACCAAGCCCGACGCGAACAGCTCGGGTCTACACTTCTTTAATAGAGTCACTTGGATTCCAAACCGGTGTGTGTGGATAATAGTTATTTATTATACAAGAGTGGAAAGTTCCTTTTTAACCGCGTGCTCGATTTGGATGACCGAGCAAGCGAAGGATTCTAAAGTTGAATCACGAGCGCAGCGAGTGATTCTAAATTAGAATCCTGAGCGTCAGCGAGGGAAACAAACGAGCACAAGGTGAAAAATCTTTCCACTCGAGTGCAATACGTAACTTTTCATCCCACCTCAGCGAGGAAATGACAAAATGAAAAAGAAAACAATTTATAATGACAAAATATTTAAGCAATAAAACGTGAAAAACTAGAATGGCGCGAAGCACGCAAATAAAACAAAGAAACCAAGAAGGTTCCAAATTTAAATTTTTTCACAATTTAAAAAGTTCTAATCATAAATTTGGCACCATAGAGGTTACATTAAATAGGTTTAATGACGTTTTGAATTTACAATTATATTGAGTACTCATTATATGTGATGTTCTAAATTCAAATCTACTTTGCCGCTCAAGCGAATAAAATAGAATTTTCCAGCCAGATTTCGAAGCGCAAAATTACACTTTCCGAGGTGGTGGGATGAAAAAAGAATTGTTTTATTTATACAGGATGGCCGGGGAGTTGACGTTCAAGCGTAAAATTTAAATACTTTATGATGAGGAGTATCGAAATCACCCCCATATATGTTCTACGATTTTGCGTAGTTTTCGAGTTATATTTTTTTTCGTAATTTTCACCTAACATCAGTTTTCGATTTTTTTCTCATTCTGTTGGACGTTTCTGGTTAAATTTTTTTGTGATAACTGACTAACATAGTCAAACCTAGCACCCTAAAACTTATGGTTTATCTAGGCATTGCAGAATTCACTTAGAATTTGTTCGAAAGTTCAAAATTGCGATTTGAGCTCATAATACACACAAATTTTCAAAGTATAAAAAAAATGAAAATGTGGGGATTAAGAGTTGAAAGTGCTTTTAGAAACTTCCTGAGACATTAAACTTTAAAACAAGGCCAAATAAAAAAACTATGATAGTTTTCATGAGCTTAAACTCGTACTAAGGGTACAGTAATATTTTTTTTAGATTTAAAGACGTTGTCACGTTGAAAACTCACGGTAACTGAGCAGCTACGGGCACCGCTCTCATCCACCTCGCCGTGGCCACTAGTATTCTCGCCCCGGCTTCACACACCGTGACTTGTGACATAACGTGACATGACGTCACACTTTTTCATGCGTGCTACCGGTTGGTGTATAAGACGTTATCACGTTAAAACTCACGGTAACTGAGCAGCTACGGGCTAAACTGAGCAGTATGCGCGCCCCGGCTTCACACACCGTGACTCGTGACATAACGTGACATGATGTCACACTTTTTCATGCGTGCAACCGGTTGATATATAAGACGTTATCACGTTAAAAACTCACGGTAATTGAGCAGCTACGGGCACCGCCCTCATCCACCTCGCCGTGGCCGCTAGTATTCGCGCCCCGGCTTCACACACCGCGTGTAGACGGAGATGGGGCGGCGCGGGAGACGGCAGAACTAATGATAACTGGAGAGATTCCGGAGTGCAGAGGATACTGGGGTCCGCGTCGGTTACTGCTGTATTAATACAAAAAATACAATCATCATCAGCCTATTAATGACCCCACTGCTGGGGCACAGGCCTTCCCTATGGATGGAATAGGGAGTTTGGGCCATGACCCACCACGCGGGCCCAGTGCGGATTGGCGGGTGCTGACGACTGCAGATGCAGCCGGGACCAACGGCTTAACGTGCCTTCCGAAGCACGGAGGAGTGAGAGATAGTAAATTTTTGGTCACCCATCCAATGATTCCAGAACCTAGGACCTCTGAGTCGACCTTGAAAACCGGCGTACATGCCACTTGAGCCACGGTATATAATCTACTCGTGCTTCGGAAGCCACGTTTAGCCTTTGGTCCTGGCTGCATTTACGTAATAATTTTCGAGAAAGTCTTCTTGCTTTTTGCTGTTTAAGATTTATTTAATTGCATCAAATATTAACCTAAGTATAATTACATTCGAACACTGCAGACATAGATAGTCAATATTAATAGGAACGATTCTTAAATATCTGAATTGTATGAATTGCAGTCATTAGTGAGTGACAGTGATGCAAATAGATAGAAGCACAGCAATATTTTTCTTCTCTCTCTCACACACTTAGGGTTGCCAACCCTACTATATAATAGAGTATCCTACTATATTAGGGAATCAAATACTATATAGGAGAAACTACTATATTTTTCTTAAAGCATAATTTGCAAGTAAAAGCTTTCTTAAAATAAAAACTGAAGTATTATCGACATTTGTAATTTTGTATTCATTTTAATTATTTTGTATTTGAATTAAATTTAAGTAATTTGTAGCATACAAATTAGCTATTATTAGTATTCTTGTTTTTATGTTTTTTATATGGCTAAATAGCTGAAATATTTAGTGTTCTACATTTCAAAAAAATAAAATTCTTTTTAGCGGCACTATATTTTTTCCATTTTTTTTTTCTAGTTTAAGTAGTAATACAAAATGTGTGTTTACCGTCTGTTTGTTGAGTCTCCGCAGCGGCGGCGGCGTGTAAAGCTGACAAAGGCACTTCAGGTGGAGTCGCGCCGTACGCAGATTGTAAGTACTCATTAATCGCACCTAATAAATAAATACATTCATACTAATATACACTCGACTGCAAATAAACTGGGCCAACCGCTAGTAGCAGCTAGTAGGAGGAGCTCGATGGCGCAGGTGGTTAGCGCGTTCGGTTGCGATCGTTGTAGTGAAGCAACTTTCGCAGTGGTCGGTCATTGGATGGGTGACCAAAAATTTCTATCTCGAGTTCCTCCGTGCTTCGGAAGGTACGTTAAGCCGTTGGTCCCGGCTGCATCTGCGGTCGTTAGCACCCGCCAATCCGCACTGGGCCCGCGTAGTGGGTCATGGCCCAATCTCCCTATTATATCCATAGGGAAGGCCGCGTGGTGGGTTATGGCCCAATCTCCCTATTACATCCATAGGGAAGGCCACGTGGTGGGTCATGGCCCAATCTCCCTATTACATCTATAGGGAAGGCCGCGTGGTGGGTCATGGCCCAATCTCACTGTTCCATCCATAGGGAAAGCCTGTACCTCTGCAGTGGGGACATTAAGAGGCTGATGATGATGATGATGAACCGCTATTACCTTGGAATGCTAAATCGATTTTTTCTAAAAGTATATAAGTTACAACTATTAAAGCTATATTTACAGAAAGTGTGTTTCATAATTATTATTAATTATTAATAAACGTTTATTCTAAAGTACTGTCACCTCACTTTGTAATCGAGCAAGACCAGCAATGCTAACAATTTGCTATTTTTTTTAATAAAGTCGCGATTATCGTTCTTTTTTATAAATATGAAGATAGTCCGATACTTCTTATCATTTCCTTGGTTTTTCTCCATAGTTTTCTAAAAAGTGAGCATTTTTGCTTTCTTCGTAACTTTCGAATACCACTATTGGAAAACGAAACCTTGGCTTTTTTTTAAATAAAAATTTAATTAATTGATTAATCTCAATAAATTCTAGTTCATTTTAATCATCACGAAACGCACTTTCTGTAGTTATAATTTTTTTATTTGTAAGTTTTATACTTTTTGAGAAAATCTAATCAGAGTTCCGTGGTAGCAAGTGGCCCAGTTTATTTGTAGTCGAGTGTATTAAATGTGAAAGTGTGTTTGTCTGTCTGTCAGTTACCGCTTCACACTTAAACAGCTTAACCAATTTGAATGAAATTAGGCATAGAGGAGTCCTGGGAAAAGACATAGGACTGTTTTTATCCTATAAATAATGTAATGGCACGTTTACTATTCGAGCAAGCGCGTACATCGTCACATCAGCATATTTCGTTGAACTAAATTACCTATTCACAATTAATTTTATTGCACAAAATCAGTTCGCAATCATCAACTCATCAAGTCGCGCGTACTCATAGCAATTATTATTTTATAGTTATCTTTAGTCCTTTCTCCAAATATACAGTTTTATACTACAATATCAGTTTATCATATATTAGTTCCAACCCGAACATTTACACTTGGTCGTTAGACTGAATACGAGTGGCAATGGGATTCGGACAAACACAGGTTCCTAAAAGCGCTATATATTTGTTCGCAGTAATAATTTGTGTCTTAATTGTCTAAGTGACAGACATCGTGATTCGGTTTGTAGTTAGAATAATAATAATAATATTCTTTATTGTATAACACCACAAAGGACATAACAGTAAGATTACACTGACAGAGAGACATTACACAATGGGCGGCCTTATTGCTTAATAGCAATCTCTTCCAGGCAACCCATGACGGAAAATTAAATAAGTAATACATAGTTCTTGTTGCATGTGTTGTGCCACCATGAACTCAAAGCTGTATCATAAAAAAATATTTATCTGATGTTTCACTTGACCTATCTTTCTTCCACTGTGAGAAGAAAAATAGGTTAAGTGAAACATCAGAGAAATATTTTTTATAGCTTGAAATGGCATATAATCTTGAGCCCTATCTCGGCACGTAACAATATGATGCATCGATACGTGTGCCCCAGCAGTGGGACATTAACAGGCTGATGGTGACTCACCGAACTGGCCCATCTTGAAGAGGTTCTTGGCGAGTTGCGTGTGCAGCATCAGGTGCTGGCGACGAGCGCCGTCTGCTTCCCCGGCACCGCCCAAGTACCCAGGCACTACGCGATACGAGACATATCATAACATTATTGTAATAAATAAATATATTTCCAACACTCACACTAATGGGGTATTTGACAGTATTAAAAATAAAGTGCCAATAGGGATGATGACGGGGTACAGTAAACGAAATTCTATTTAGTCCGTCAGTTAGATGATCAAAAAATAATGGACACGTATTTTTTCTTTGGGCAATCAACCAAAAAATGACAAAGTTATAGCGCGTCAAAGTTTGGGAGTAGGGGCTCGTGACGTCACTTTTGAGTGAATTTTCACTTATAAGTGTACTCAAACGTGACGTCATGCGACTTTTCAAATTAATATATCTCTGCAATGTTTACATTATGGAAAAAAGAAAAAATACGTGTCCAATACTTTTTGATAATCTACCTGATAAATGAAGAAAAAAAAATTAGTCATCAACCCTATTGTTAGCATCTGTGTTGTGAATTATTATTGGCAGGGGTTTTTACTATTTTTACAAAAAAAATATTCATAATTTGGATTGGCGGAGCCTAAAATGACGTCACACGCAAGTAAACTTCCGGTTAAAGTGACATTACATTGTATCGTTTGACGTTTAAATAACAGTCATGTGTAAGTAGTAAGACGCCATATTGTCCAGAGAAACGTTTTTGCGGCAACTTGAAAATGGAGTTTTTGATTTGGTTATTTTTACTGAAATAAACAACAGAATGATGAATATCCAGTTTTTACATACTCCATAAACATTAGTCAATAACGTGAGATCGTTTTCTAAAACTTGTCAAATACCCTATTAGCCTAGCCCCAAAGTAAGCACTGTAAGGCTTGTGTTATGGGATACTAGGGTAACGGATAGAATACATATACTGTACATACATAAGCATATTTATATAGAAATACATATTAAACATCCACGACTGGAGTACAAATGCTCCTATTCATCACACAAACATCTGTGAAGTGAAACTTCTTTACGCACGTTTGATTTAGGGAGTAAGCTGGCGAACGCGTTACGAAAAGTGTGATCGGATGAGGCGAACGGGAATTTAGTGGGGGGGATATAAGCAAGAGAAAGCGCGCAAATTTTCTCTCTCTCTTTCTCTTAGAGCTAGTAAATGAAATATGCATATGTACATACATATGCATATGTACATTTGGACGAGCCAGTTTGTTCCTAAGTCCGGTAGGGGCGCTACTTAGTTTTCATATAAACTTTCACGACGCGATGCGATTACGGAACTGTCAAAATTCGTGTTTTGGCCTCAGTTTTCGGCAATAGCAGAGATTAGTTGTGAGCGTCCTAAAGACGAACCGGTTTCAAGGACCGTTCTGTGTTCCGCGACGATAGAACCGTTTTGCGTTTCGGATCAAAACAGTCTTCGTCGAAGAACTGGTCCTCGGATTGTCTACACACCAATTTGTACTTAATGATGAAGTAAATACAGTCTATAATAGATCACAATGTTAAGAAACCGTTTGGTTCATGAATTAAGCTTTGATTTTACAATAGTATAATATTTATTATTGAACATTACACGTCTATTATACTTTTTGTTCGATGTTTCGTCGTCTCGTTCGCAGCACGGTGGCGGTAGCGCGGCTGTGCCGCTTGTGTATGACCTTATTACCATTAAAATAGAGTGCAAGTTTGTTTAGCAACAAATGGAAACAAAATAATAAAATTTATTTAGAACTGCCAGTTGGCATTGCAAATTAGCATTACTTTTACTCGTCGTAACGAACGTTGACAAGATTTTGTTTAGTTTAGTTTCGTTGCGTCACCCAGCCGCAACCAAAACCAGTTGCGAACGAGAACCGTTTCGAGGACTAGTTTTCGTTTAAGAGGAAACGGTTGTGTTTCGTCGTCAGAAATTTTGAGAACGACCCACCGCTAGAAGAGATAGTGATTCGCGCTCCAAAGTTATTACTTAATAACCCGAAGAAAATAATATAAATGTTATATCGCAGGAAGAAGTTAAGTAAGCTAGTATCGAACTGTTAAATAAAGAATCAAAATAACAAATCGTAGGAAGGCCATGGGGATCTTCCCCGACTGATGTCGGTCGGGCCTTGTATATATGGAGTGTTAGCATCCGAATTTCACTTGCGCGATGTAGGCTTCCGTACGTATCGATCGCAGCGTCAGTAGCGCCATCTCTTGAGGAGGTGAGTGATGATTACACAATAAAGTCCCAAGCAACATCCAAGAGTTAACCATAAATAAATTTAAAGATAGTATAAAAAAGCACTTATTAAAAAAGCTTATTACAAAGTGTCTGATTATATTACAGAAAAACATGCTTGGGTTTGAACTGTTCCAATCATTCCAACATGTTTTCTATATTAAATAAATCATAATTGTATTGACGTTGCAACAACATAATGATTTGTAAATGTTGTTACATTAGACTTTTAATGTTGTGGAGTTTTTTTCGCTCGTTTTTCTCCGCAGCTAAAAAATATGTGCATAACGAGTGGTAGGGAAAAAATTATTTGGACTATTCAAAACAGTTGTACTTTACATCCAATTTGAATAAAGATATATTGATTTCTGATTTCCTCTATCCGTTGGATATATGTGGGGGACATAGATGTCGCCACAAAATTAACAATTTAAGCGAACAAAATCAATTTATGGTAAGTATTGTACCTGGGTTGGTTTTGTTGAATGCGACGGCGGCTGCCAGTGCAAAATTAATAGCGGGCGCTGCGGGAGATACTGCTCCGAATGCATCACTAGGCTCCTCCTTAGGATTGATCTGTTACAAACACGCAAACATCTATAAAACAAAAAGCCTCTTACCATATTCAATAATTTAGTTTGATAAAACTGCATTGCTTAATTTAATAATCTACTTAAATAAAATATAATAAATATTTCCAACACTCACACCAATCAACCTAGCCCCAAAGTAAGCACTGTAGTAAGGCTTGTGTTATGGGATACTAGGATAACGGATAGAATACATATACCGTACATATATAAGTATTTTTATAAACATATACATATTAAACATCCATGACTGGAGTACAAATGCTCGTATTCATCACACAAACATCTGTCTCCACCGGGATTCGAACCCGGGACCTCTCGAGTCGGCGACACGATAACAAACCCGGCGTACATACCACTCGGCCACGGAGGTCGTCAAAATTTTATTAATTTAATTTTTCAATGAACAAAATTTTTACTAGAAAACAATTCCACGCAGACGGAGCTCGAACCCTTCGCTATTAGGGGTACATAATTCGATGTATTTCACCCTTCGAACCTAAATCAACCTTCACCGAGCTGATAATAGAATGAAACTTAACAATATTTTCTTTACTGTACACAAAAATTGCAAGACAAAAAAAACATAACTATGTGAGCAAAGGAGGGCTTATCTCTAAGAGAGATCTCTTCCAGCCAACCAAGGTTTAGTGAGCTATTTTATCATTAATTTAGTATATTAGAAAATATATTAAAAATGGGTTCGCTAAAAAAAAATCTGAAGCCTATTCCTCTTTTTAGTTTTTTCCACCAAAAGTTCATTCTCAATGTACTACTACTAAGACTGAGACATTCTCAATGGACGCAAGTATTTACCTGTCCCTGTTGCCCGAGCCCAAGCAGCTTATTGTAAGCAGCTTGCCGCTCATGCAGTCCGTCCCTCGCCTCGCCCTTACACTTGTCCACAATGGGCTTGCGTTCGTGCTGGACCGCTGTACATAATGTGCAAGAATTACTGCTCATCATGTTTCATCATATGTGACCTATGTGCCTAATTATTGGGTGATTGGTGATTTGCTGTGATTTGTATTGAAAAATATGAGAATGTACTATTGATTTCTTTGTGTTTTTTTCATTATATATATATATATGAATGTTTCGTTAAGTGTGTTTTATTTTAAAATATATAAATAAGCAGCCTGCCTCTTGCCTCGCTCTTACACTTGTTCACTATGGGCTTGCGTTCGTGCTGTGTACAAGAATTACTGTCATCACATTTTATTGTATGAAACAAATGTGCCTGGTGGTAATTTGGTGTGGTTTATATAAAAAACTAGCTGTCCCAGCGAACTTCGTACAGCCATAAAAAAATAGGGGTTGGTGGTAGAAGGGCGAAAATTTTGGGTTATATTTATTTTTGTATGATGTATCATAAAATAATAAAAAAAATATATCTAAAATTGAAAAAAAAAAATTTCACGAAAATCGGTCGATCCGTTTCGGAGGAATTTAAAACCACAAACACCGCGACACGAGAATTTTATATATTAGATTATGAGGAAGATCGCCTGTGATGTCACAGTGGTGGCATTGAGGTTTTTAGAAAAATGGTGTGTCGACTATGGTCTCAAGGTAAATCCAGAGAAGACGGACAGAGTAGTGTCGAGTTGCAGAAACAGCCCACCGTACTACTAAGTCTATTTATTATTATTTATTTATTTATATTGTGGTTTAAGTTGGTGTAGTTATTTTAAGTGTCTACTTCACTAAGCAATCAACACATGAATTCATACAGTTGAAGTGAGACTTTTAATAGTATAGTATTGATAATGTCACAGAAGCTATGCATTCTGGACTCTCGTAGCAATTCATAATTAGCACTTAAAAGTAATCAATTTTTAAATTGCATTCAGCTTGACCACTATTTTCTCACTTTTCAACTACATGAAACATTTATTGACATATACATGTACATTCTGGACTCTAACAGCAATTTGAATGTTGTGGACAATTTTTAAATACCATCAGCAAAATTATTTCATGGCTTTTGCTAACTAACTTTGCAAGCAACTGGATTATTAATAATAACTGTTGATAAAATTTGTTGTTGAATGTTTTTGTTTATATTTAAGAAATACTCACAGTCACTCCTCATGCCACAAGCGAGGCACTTCTGCAGACGACAGTACTGGCACCGGTTGCGATGATGCTTCGTCACCTCACAGTTCATGCTGCCACGGCACTGGTAGCCGAGCTTCTTTCTGATAGAACGCTTGAAGAAACCTTTGCATCCTGCAATGTGTTCAAAAAATTAATAATAATGGTGATTTAAGCTAATTAAGATTTCTTTTACATATTTTTTCCATTAATGATACTGTTGAATATCATAGCCATTGTCAATATTTAGATTGATAACAATGTAAATACACGAAACGTTATTTATTTATTGACGTTTTGCAGCCCTTTCAGGTCTGCATCGTCAGAATACTGTGCATTAACCCCTAGTTTTATTTAATGAGTGATGTGCGTGAAAACCTAAGAAACAAATATAATATAAATACAGTTAAATTGTAAAGAAAGCAAATGATGGACACTTCATCCTCTTAACAGAAAGCATTTTTAAAGCTAGCAATAATGAGTTCTCTTGACCAGTTTTAAAGTACGATTGTGAAAGCAATGGTCATAGTTGGGATGAAACAGAATCAAACTTTAACATAGGATCATATAATGAATTTTCGCTTGCTTCAAAAATGTTAGCTGATCGCTTTCTGCTTAACAATGCTCAAATTTACCTAACCACAAACTTCTTCTTTCAACTTTGACATAAATAAATAAAAATAAAATAAGCCTTGATTCAGACTGACTTGTTACATAAATTATATTTATTTAAATTAAATTATTAATCTGATTACTCTTCGGCAAAGGCCTCCCCCAAAGTTTCCCAATGCTGTCTATCCATGGGCTACCTGCTCCATGCCTTAACTTTGACATAAGTAACAATAAATATTCATTAATTAAATTGTGTTCCGTTTTTGTCATATTGTCATAAGTATTATCGTTATTTTTTTATAATCACTAGCTTACCTTCACAACTTATTGCTCCATAATGTCGACCAGATGCTCTATCACCACACACTATACACAGTTCCAAGCCTCCAACTTCAGAACCTGAGTTGTACTTCATCTCCAGCTGATCTTGAGGGTCCATATTTGTAGTCCTCTGTAATCAAATTTTAAGCTATAAAATTAATAGAACTTATTGTATAATGCGATTCAACTAAGAATAGGATCGACGGGGCGCCATATTGTGACGTCATAGCTGTCATTTCAAACGAAAAAGATAGAGTGAGCAAAAAATTTTTTAATAAAATTTATTTACTAAAATTGAGAAAAGCAAATAACCGATTTTTAATTATATTTATTTATTAAGACTGTGCGAGAAAAAACATTAATCAGAATTAAGCTCTTCAATTCCGCTCATCTCGGCATTACCGCCGGAGTAGTTATGAATAATCATGCACTATTACTAGGTCACATACGAACATGCATTCTATATGTAAACCACAGTTTTAAATCGAGTTTCTGAACGCAACTTAAAGTGACATTTGGTTGACGATTTAGGTTATCAAATATTCATAGCCAAAGCTCAATAAATGAAAATAAAATATCAACTAATATTAATTAACAATATTTGTTATTGTTTGTTTACAAATGTTTGGTTTTTTTCCATAATTAGCTGAGTGCCAAAAAAGGGTTCCAAGATTTTTTTGCAAGCCATACTTTTCAAGCGACATTTGACAGATGGAGGTCATTGGCTTTCCTATTCCTATTTGAATCGCATTATACTTATGAGGTTTATAAAAAAACATGTTCCATTAGGAAACTCCTTTTAACATTTTTATCTTACTAGAAATTTTAATCTAAAGAAAAGTTTACTAGAAAAAAATCCACGCGGACCAGGCATCGGACGGGACTCGAACCCGCACCCTTCGCTATCCGGGCGTATGCACTGACCATTATGCTACCACGGCCCTATTCGCCGCGTCGAAATTTTCCTAGCATTAAGCTGCAAGGCAGCGCCATCTCTTCGCATTGTAGGTAATCCACAATGTCAAATGAATACTTATTCAAGTATTAAACATTTGAAAGAAGAAATAGCAATTATAGTTATGTTTTTATTTATTTTTAAGCATTTAACTGCTAGATGTTTGAATCTAAAGAAAAGTTTACTAGAAAAAAATCCACGCGGACCAGGCAGCGGACGGGACTCGAACCCGCACCCTTCGCTATCCGGGCGAATGCACTGACCATTATGCTACCACGGAAAAATGCTTAAGGCTAGGAAAATTTCGACGCGGCGAATAGGGCCGTGGTAGCATAATGGTCAGTGCATTCGCAGACAGACATTTTTATAGAACTTTTAAAGGAGAACAATTCTGCTATACATAGACTTGAATGGAAGCTCTAAAAATAGAATATTTTATCAGTTTTTGCAACATTGTGTTCAGTGCTCTGCTCCTATTTATCATATCCTTATGTTATATTATAAGTGCTTTACAGAGATGTGACTTATCTGAGATAAAAGTATCTTAGATGCAGGTACAAGATACTAAATACGTATTTGTATCTTGTATTTAAATACTTTTTTTCAGTATCTTAGTATTTTGAAGATACTTTTTCTTTTCCTATATAATTTTCAACATTAATTTTAAAACGCATGCATTTTTGTAAATTAGTGCGTTACTATTTTAAGCCTAAGTGCATTACTTTTCTATCAACTTTATTCACCGTGAAAAGAAAATCGTACGTCCATATTTTGCCATCTCATTCACTTTAATGTTATGGGTTAGGTGATAGTGAACAAAAACTACGTAACTTCCCCTACGGTACGTTTTTATGTAAACGTTCACTAGAGGAAAAAGAGTTTCAATTTTCTTTGGTCTGTTTTGTAATGGAGTGAGATGAAGATAATAATCATCAGGTTATTTTTACAAATAATTAGAGAGAGAGACCGGGGCTTATTAATGATATCATCTCTTGAACATGACCATTCATTAACACTGCATATTATTAATAATCGCGGTCACCCATCCAAAACCCAACCAATCGTAAACAACCTGCATATTATTAATTCAAATTCAAATTCAAACTCATTTATTCAGTCTAGGCTGTTACAAGCTCTTGTGAAAGTCAAACGCTACGCCATCGGTTCGTAAATCTACGGCGGGAGACCTTGTACTGAGAAGAACCGGCAAGAAACTCAGCAAGGGCTATTTTTTTCTCCCTGTTTTGTTTCACACAGTGTCGTCAATTGAAAGATGACATCAAAAATTGAATACATGTGTTGATGTCAACTTCCATCACATTAATATTATTAATTAACAAAAGTTAAGTATAACTAGTAAATAATAATCGCGGTCACCCATCCCAAACCCAACCAGTTGTAAACAACCTGCATATTATTAATAATCACGGTCACCCATCTCAAACGCAACCAATCGTAAACAACCTGCATATTCATAATCATGGTCACCCATCCTAAACCTGACCAATCATAGCCACTCTGCACTTTCAGAATACCGAAAAAAAAATACACCGAACCCATCATTAATTCATAGCTCTTGAAAAATATGGAAGAAACGTGAATGGAAGTAAGATCAATAGTAAGATGATGATGACAAATTTGAAGATTGGAAGAACAGCAGCCACGTCTTAAGGTTCGTGGCCTAATGGTTCTGTTATTAAAAATAAAGGCACAGAGGACTGGCTATATTGCTTACATGTTTTGATTCAAAAAGTATCTTTATCTTAATAAATAAGCTACAAATTTTCAAAATTCTTTTTTTAATACTTAATGCACAAGCATACAAAGGCAGACTTAATGCCATAGGCATTCTCTAACAGTCAATCATAGGGTGTTGTGGATAAATAGTGGTAGGGTGGGTGCACAACTTAAAATACAGAAAAAAGAAACAAATATAAATATGTAGTAGCCATATATATATAATCACACAAACATAAAAAGTACCTACATATAATCAACTATACATATGTATTCACACACACTATTATATAAACATACACATACATATTATATAAACATACATACTAAATAAATACATAATAATGATGACTAACGTTTAAGCTAGACTGCTTGTTCCTATAAAAAGCTTCGTAACTTGGTTATGAAGCTTATTTTGCTGGTTGACATTCTAATATCTTGTATCTGGTATTTCTAATACTTTTTCCAAAAGTATATTGTATCTATATACTTGACTACCTGGTATCTTGTATTTTAGATACTTTTTTTAATGTATTTTTTACATCTATGGTGCTTTAGCTAACAAATTTTTCAAATCAGATCAGTATTTACTGAGAGCGCGTTCAACCAAGCAAACAAACAAACTCTTCAGCTTTATAATATTAGTATAGTACATTTAAATAAGATCTGTACTTAAACAAACCTTCTTTTGCTTTAATTTTCAACAATAATATTAGATGATTATGAATAGATTAACAGTTTCTGGACGGCACATCCATTTTCTACAAGGTTGTTACGTATTGAAGCTACAATGTCACAATAGGGCAACTGAACTACAACGACGCCTATGCCAAAACAAACAAAACATGATTGCCTTTCACTTTTTGGATCTTGATTTTAAAACTGATAAATGCAAAACTGTTCCGATCCCAAAGGTTTAAGACAACTCCTTAAGTAAATAACTATAAAGTTGCAGCACGCCTTTGTAATCACTGAAGTGAATATAATTACCAAGCCACGAAACAGTTATAATGCTATTTGATGGTCAACATACCTTGAAAACTACCGCGGTCAGAGTAAAATCTAACGGGATAAAAGTATCTACTTATGAAATTAACTGATATTATTCACTTTTTTGTATTCATTTGAAAATAATACCTTGTGATAAAATAAAATAAACTAACAATAGCTTCACCACTTGTAGCTTCAGCTCAGCAAACTGTCAGATATATTGTTCTGTGTTCAGACTGTCACTGTGACGTGACTGATTTGTTGATTGACTGATTATCACAGACTACTATGAATGAAAATTGACAATCAATTAATATTGATGTCGACCATGTGTCGATCAAAGAGAAAATCATGTTTCTACTCGAGTACCAAGAACAAATCAGTCCTACAATGTTGGGTTGCTGACGTACACTTAAAAAAATAAATGAAAAAGAACGCTCTGAAGCACGGCTCTGTTTTGCCTTCCCAGCTTGGGGAAGAGAACAAAAGAACAAAACAATTTTTGTAGTTGACTCGATTTTTTGCATTTAATCGATCTTTTGGATCGTTATAGATCGAAAATTGATGAACGATCTGAGTCGTATGGTATTGAATTGAATTGATCTTAATTGATTCTGTATAATCCTACCGAACTTTTATAAAAATGAAAAAAAAAATGGTTGCCTGTAAAGTCGGTTTTACGGGCGAAGATTTTACGTGACAACGTCTTTTTCTCGGTAGAATATTTATTGATATGAATATAATTAAATTGCACAATAGGAACAAGGAATTGAATGAAAATAAGAATTGCACAAATTTTAACTATAGAAATATATTTTGTTTACTAAAACATTGTACATGTAAACTTAAACTTAACACGAGAGACTCATCGTAACGTTACCGAGCGTTACACTTTTTCATAAGTGACTCCCAGCCGCAACCTAATTTAAGACGTTGTCACGTCAAAAAAATGATTTGCTTTTACGAAACGAAGATGCAATGCAAGTGAAACTTTTAAAGCGTTTCACATTGCATCTATTTTTTTTTCAACAAAATAGCAATGTGAAGTAAGATTAAGATCCTCGAACAGCAGCAACAGCAAGTTGTTATAGAGGTATGTCAATGTTTCGGTTCGGTCTGGGAGTAGGTGATTTCTTTATCGGTCACTCTAAGTTTTTTTCTTCAATAAAAAGGCATAATACGCTTGCAAATTGGTTTATTTTTAGCACTTTGAACAAGGAATATCCATACTAGCACATATTTGTAAAGTTTAATCTAGGGATGCGCCGATCCGATCCGATCCTTTGAAAGATCGGATCGGAAGGCATATGATCTGGTGATTTTCTTATCGGATCGAGGCCATACGATCTTTTGCTGGATCGTTACAAAACTTAAATGATCGGATCGCTTGGATCGTGTGAATTAAAACGCGGTTTGTTTACAATAAATTGGGTAGGTACTTACTAAGGCTTCTTCTACGAACTTTATCTTTGTTTACATTTTCACTTGGCGGCATTCTTTGCAGGTGGATCTGTTAATCTTGTACATTAAACACAAGTTGTAAGAAAATTTATATATAGGTACCACTTAACCTATTTCTTGCTAAAACCACATAAGTCACCTATTTCTTGCAAAAACAACAAGTCAAGAATAGATTTGCATGATTTTATCATTATTATTATTTGTGAACAGTAAAAGTTCTTGGCCATTTGAATTTTTTACAACTCAAATACTAAATTAAACGTAAAAAAGTCTTATTCAACTCGATTTTTTGAGTATGGACCAGTTTTTATTAATTTCTGAAAAACTCTAATAGTGTGACATAAGAGGATTTAATTGTACTTTAACTATAAAAAGTAGTTAGGCGTATTTCTTCTAGTTGTGAGCGTTCTAAAGACGAACCGGTTTCAAGGACCGTTTTGTGTTCCGCGACGATAGAACCGTTTTACGTTTGGGATCAAAACAGTCTTCGTCTAACAACTGGTCCTCGGATTGTCGACACGCCAATTTGTACTTAATGATGAAGTAAATACAGTCTATAATAGAACGCAATGATATGAGACCGTTTCGTTCTATAACAATTAAGCTTTGAATTTAAAATAAAATTAAGGTATAAAAAAACCTTTTTAAAAACAAGCGTTTATATAAATGCGCTAAAAAGAAAAAAAGAAAATTTACACTAAATTAGTTAAAGATATCTGTTTCTAAATAGATTTTAAAATTTTAGAAGTCCGCCATATTGGATTGAGAGTGACGTCACATTTTTTTCGAGTTACTCTCAGCAAGCCCTTTAATTTGATACCCATATTGTAGGAATGCATTAAAAAGGTTGCGTTTCGTCGTCAAAAATTTTGAGAACGACCCACCGCTAATTTCTTCGAAGTCTAAATTTATCATAGACAACTAGTAAATATTTTTTTAAGTTCTCTGTGTACTAAAATTACTATTTCACATTGGTGTCGATTCTGGCATGATTCTCTAAACTTAAAACTAAATTTAACATCAATGATGTCGATTCTTTCACTTACACACACTCAACTTAAATTTGACAACAGTGCATCCTTTTCATTCTCTTTACAGAATAAAAAGAAGAGACTGATGTCAAATTTAGTTTTAAGTTTAGAGAATCACGCCAGAATCGACACCAGTCTCTCCTTTTCATTCTGTATAGAGAGGCACAAGGATATACTGCTGTCAAATTTAAGTTTAGGTTTAGAGAATCATGCTAGAATCGACACCATTGTTTTTCTTTCAAAACTAAGTACTTGTTTGTTTGTAAGTTTTACATACAGCAATATTGTTTGTTCACAATTTTTATAAGCATAATTATAAGCATAATAAGCGCTTTTTGCTGATATTAAATCTGTACTTTTCTTTAACTCGTAAAGGGCATAAGCGAATCTAGATAACTTGGATACTACTCTATCAATATGTGACTTCCAATTTATTACAATCTATTTCTATTCCTAGTAATGTGCAAGAGGTAACAAAATCTAATTTACTGTTTTGGACGATAGATTTAGTTTCAATAGGTTTTTTCTGTCTAGGTTTAAATTACCTTTTAGTACCCACACTAGGCATAATTCTATAATGAGCTATATCTCATAAAGGAAGAAAGATATAATAATTATAAAATAAATAATAATATTTGTTTCTTAGGGTTTCACGCACATCACTCATTAAATAAAACAACCACCAGTTCGGGAACCCATTATACAACAGATAAAATCTCAACGCCGAGCACACACTGTAAGACCAACAGATACTATTAGTTCTTTTTGTTTGCATGATTTAACATAAGAAGGAGATAGAGAGTCTCTCTGAGTTCGTTTCGCCGGTTCTTCTCAGAAAAAGTCTCCCATCTTTGGAACCGGTGGTAGTTCACGGTTGTTAGGGTCAAATAAGTAAATAAACTCAAACATATAAAAAAATATTTAAAAATGTACTTAATTAAATTAACTAATAAGTTCATGCATAGACAATGATGTCGATTCTGGCATGATTCTCTAAATTTAGGTAATTTTAATTTGACAACAGTGGTGTCGATTCTAGCATGATTCTCTAAATCTAAACTTAAATTTGACAGCAGTATATCCTTGTCATTCTCTATACAGAATGAAAAGGAGAGACTGATGTTAAATTTAGTTTTAAGTTTAGAGAATCACGCCAGAATTGGCACCAGTGTGTACTTGTCATTCTCTATACAGAATGAAAAGGAGAGACTGCTGTGTCAATTTAGTTTTAAGTTTAAAGAATCATGCCAGAATCGATACCAATAAAGTTTTAAAAATCTTCCAATCCGAACGCTAAATAAAAGTCTTTCGAAGGTAACTCGACAAAGTAAATTAAAAAAACATTATTTTGACGACGCTTTCTTGAAACCGCTGCAAAACATCTATTAATAAAATAAATCAGTACATCTAGCCCGTTGAAAGTTGTTTTATTTAATAAATAATAATAATATAATATAGAACAAGACTTTTAAATAACCTTTAGAATTGGCGTTATGGTAGCGAACACCAAATAGTGAATATAGAAAGCGAAATTATATTTAATTATATGATACATAATTTGTAAATAGTGCGTAAAATTCTACCTTTGTTATTGAAAAATACTATACTAGTGTCTGCAAAGATTTATTTGTAATACTACAACTGAAATTTTGTTTCCGGTCAGCTAAAGTTATTATATTCTGTCATTCGATTTTTTAAAACATCTTCGATTGATTCGGTCCAAAAAATCAGATTATCTGATTGACGTGTATCGGTATTCCAAAAGACCGTTTCAGATCGGGCATCCCTATTGTATGTCAAATTGTCAATGTCAATTTGAAGAGGTAGCGAGCCTCGTGTTATTTGTTGATTTTTGAGGTTGAAATTAATATTTAGTGAGAATCTTTATTAATTTATCATGTCATGTGCAGATATGGAGGATATCATACATAAGTTTGAATCCTTCACTCAAAAACCTGTGAACTATCTCAGTGTCCAAACTGCTCTAAAAGATGATATAAAAAGTTTTGTGAAAACTGTTTATGATTATACCAAATCAGAAGAAAGTAGTGGAAAAAAGTTAAAGAATGGAGCTTTACCTGAACTGATAATCGAGGATTTTGACGAAGAACAGATTTGGCAAGAGATCGAACTTCAGAATACAGAATGCTGGGATCAGCTTGTTTGGGAGGTAGCTAACTGCATATCTAATAAAAATGATCTAGTCTTTCCAGTAGAAACGTCGGAATCTGTAGAAGAAGCCATGGATGAGGATGTGCCACCATCGGACGATGATGATGATGAAGACCAGGCCTCAGCTGAAGATGAAGCAGAAAATATACCAGACACTACCGAAAAACAAACGAAAACAAAGAATCCTACTGCGAAAAAGTACAAACCTTCCATAGTTGATGATAAGTTTTTCAAATTACAAGAAATGGAGCAGTTTCTACTTGATGGTGAAAGAAAAGAAGGAAAGACAACTGGTTCAGATAGTGATGAGGAATCAATTGACTATTTTAAAGATGATGATGAAGAAGATGAACTTGAGGAAGAAGATGGTGGCAATGATGTAATGTATGGGGATTTTTTTGATCAAGAAGATGCAGGTAGTGATAATGGTGAAGATAATGACGAAAGTGACAAAGATGATGTTGACGAATATGAAAATGATACAAAACATCAGAAAACTAAGAAAAAAGCACGAGGTAAGGAAAATGGAAAACGGGTAACTTTTGCAGATTCGTCATCAGATGACGATTCTGAAGAAGAACTTAATACAACAAATAGTATGCCCAATAAAGAAGAGAAAAAATCTGAATTTGAAGAGCGCCAACAGAGGCTGCAGCAACATATATCTAGATTAGAGGAAAAAACCTTGAAAGATGCGCCATGGCAGCTAAAGGGTGAGGTTGATGCATCAAAGAGACCACAAAACTCCCTACTGCAAGAAGTAGTAGACTTTGATCTCACTAGCAGGCCTGCTCCGATAATTACTGAGCAAACAACTCTTACCTTAGAAGACATAATTAAACGAAGAATTAAAGACAAAGCATGGGATGATGTTGAAAGAAAAGAAAAGGCTGTTGATGATCAACTATCTTTCCGTAAACCTGAAATCATTGATCAATCTAAGAGTAAACTTAGTTTAGCCCAAGTTTACGAAGCAGAGTATCTTAAACAGAAACAAGCATTATCAGGTGATGCTGAAGAGGAGAAGGAACCTGAGAGTCATGTTGAGATAAGAGAAGCTATGAGTAAGTTGTTCTCGAAATTAGATGCATTATGCCACTATCACTATACTCCAAGAGTGCCACAGGCTGAAGTTAAAATTGTTAGTAACACTCCAGCAATATCAATGGAGGAGGTAGCACCTGTTGCTACAAGTGAAGCTGCATTGTTAGCACCAGAAGAAGTTAAGAAAAAGCGTAGGGGAGAACTGATGAGCAAAGAAGAGAGGACGCAAACAGATAAAAAGAGAGAAAGAAGGAAAAAGAAGAAATTGCAAAAGAATAAGGAGAAAGTTGAGAAAGTCACAGACCACAGGAACACTAAGAAAGCTGTGGAGGCTAACGACAAATCATTGAAGACCTCCAAAGCTTTCTTCCAACAATTGAATGATAATTCAACTAGTTTAATTCAATCTAAAAATAAGAGAAATGTAAAAAATAAGGGACAATAAAAGTAAAATTATTTTAGATTTTGTTGTCAATATAATCTTAAAATGTTATTATTAGTATTTATTTCTCTATTTCCTGCAGAATTTGTTTAGTTAAAGACTTTAGTATCTTATTGGTGTCGATTCTGGCATGATTCTCTAAATCTAAACTTAAATTTGACAACAGTGTATCCTTGTCATTCTCCATACAAAATGAAAAGGAGAGACTGATCTTAAATTTAGTTTTAAGTTTAGATTATCATGCTAGAATCGACACCATTATATTGTTATTTAAGCATTTAACTGCTAAATATATGGATCTTCAATGCATTTCAACTAAGAATAGGACCGACTGGGCACTATAATTATCGTGATGTAATAGCTGCCAATTCAAACGGATTAGGTAGAGTTCCCAAAAAAGTTTTTCTTTAATAAAACTTATTTACTAAGATAAAGTGAGAAAAAATAAGCGATTTTTAAATAATTTTTTTTTACTAATATTGAGAGAAATAAAAATATCAGATTTTTAATAATATTTATTTATCAAGACTGAGTGAGAATTTGTTTTTAATCAGAATCTAGCTCTTTAGTTCCGCTCATCTCTGCACTACCATCGGAGTAGTCATCATCATCACTGTTGCTGTCGGCTATAAAATAAAATATAGATTTTTGTTGATAAACGACAACTTTATGTTATATTATTTATTTTTTAAGCAGTCAACTACTAGATATTTAAATGTAAAGAAAATGTTACTAGAAAAAATCCAAGCGGACCAGGCAGCAGACGGGACTCGAACCCGCATCCTTCGCTATCCGGGCGAATGCACTAACCGTTATGCTACCGCGGACCTGATGGCCGCGTCGAAATTTCTCTAGCCTTAGGCTGTAAGGCAGCGCCATCTCTTCGCATTGTAGGTAACCCGCAATGTCCAATGATTACCTTTACAGGTATTAAACATTTGAAAGAAGAAATAGCAATTATAGTTATGTAATTTATTTTTTAAGCATTCAACTGGTAGATATTTAAATCTAAAGAAAATATTACTAGAAAAAATCCAAGGTGACCAGGCAGCAGACGGGACTCGAACACGCTCCCTTCGCTATAATATAACTATAATTGCTATCTTTTCTTTCAAATTTGTAATTGTAACGTAAAATAAGTATTTTCTTCAAATACTGTACCATAGTCTCATTCATTGTAATAAAATATTTTTCTTTATTTTTAATTAGTTCTGAGAGTGGTAATTGAAGTTTATTAAAATAATGTTTTTGACTTTTTGATTATATAAGCATTTTAAACTTTTTTACATAAAAAGGGTGGCCTGCAATAAGATCTGTCTATTTTAATGACAAGTGGGCAGCATATCATGGACGCTTGCGATAAACAACTCGTCACTCGTATCCATTTTTTTAAAAAAGTTATACAGGAAGTCCTCGACTTAAGTTGTTTCGATTTACGTCGTTTCAAGTTACGTCAAACAATGTTTTGACAATATTCCTCAAGCATCAATTGTGGTTTCCGGCATGGGAGAATTCACTTGTCGCGAGGTCAGTATCCGTGGGGATGTTTCGACTAGGGTTGCAACGATATATCGGAATATCGATACTATCGATAATATCGAGACCAAAATATCGATATTTATATCGATATTTAAAATTCACTGATATCGATAATATCGATATCGGAAATTCCAAAATATCGATATTTCGTAGACTAAATTTAAACACAATAATATCAATTAATTTACCTGCTATGACTATCTAAATTGAATAATATCGAAATAACTATTGCTTTGAAATCGCAAGAGCTTATAGATGTATTAAAAAATCTTGAACCCCAAGAAATATACTAAACTGGTGTGGATTCTGGCATGATTCTCTAAACCTAAAATTAAATTTGACAACAGTGTATCCTTGTCTTTCTCTATACAGAATGACAAGGAGAGACTGATGTTAAATTTAGTTTTAAGTTTAGATAATCATGCCAGAATCGACACCAATGTATATAGGTATAATCGTATACCTAATGGTAACTCATGCACTTAAATAAAATCCTTGCCTCTCTTTCGAGATAATTGACAACTACTGATTAATTTAAATTTAATATCATTGTAATATAACAAAATTTTTTAAGCTTGTCAAGTCAAGAAAGTAAGATAGGTATAGTAATTTTGGAAGCTTTGGGCTTACCCTATTCTTAAGTCATGGGCACGCGTGTCAACGATAAAGCTGGCTCAATGCATTTTGCGAGAAACTCGCCAACAAACATACAAATACTCACCCCGTATTCTAATGTCAATAAAAAAAAATTGATATATCGATAATATCGAGTTAAAATGGTCGATATATCGGATATCGATATTTTCCTGACTCTGATATAAATATCGATATTAATATCGATATTTCAAAAGACTTTGCATCCCTAGTTTCGAACGATGTAAGTCGTTTCGATTTACGTCGCGTATTTCGAGAACCTAACATGCCGTAAGTACGAGGACTGCCTGCCTGCAATGTCCGGACAAACCGGACGGATGGTAAACCTACACGCAAGTGAATTTTTCACGCAAAAACTACTGAACGGATTTCGATTTAGTTTACGACTTGGATTGAGACATAGGATACTTTTACTCCGGAAAAGTAACAGATTCCTAAGGGATTATCAAAAATCCTAACGTAATGCGAACGAACTGCGGGCGGCCGCTAGTATTAGGATAATTCTAATACAGTCAAAACCGCATATAACAAAGCAATATCACAAGTTGTTCGTGATTCGCTAACGGAATTCTTATGGCTATCGCTATCGCTTTAATTTCATTTAATTATTTCTGACCGCGGGAGGTTTTCAAATGCCTCGCTTTCTTTTTTTGTCTTTTGCATTGGCAATAACCATTTTAAACAAAATGATCAAAATTAGTGAAAATCGCGCAGCTGTGTCCGTTCTTTTGTCGCTTTATTATCCTAGCCCGTAATAAACTCGATTGACGGCATCATGCACACCAAACTTTCTAAGAAATTTGTTCTTTTCCTTACAAATTGGGATTTCACGTGTAGACTGTTGTGGACCATGACTAATAAGGAGGAGTCATGGACTTAATACTGGTGCAGCAAAAGACGTCAGACAAAAATAACAGAATTTATGCAATAGCGTTCAAATAAGATTATTTTTTTATGTACATAACTACCTACTAGCTTGAAATAAACTTTTTCTTTTCATAATTCTGATTTTCCATTTAACGACAACTCTCTATAACGCCATAAAATGTATAGTCCCATAAGTGTCGTTATATAGAGTTTACACTGTATATATAAGTATATTTATATAGAAATACATATGAAACATCCATGACTGGAGTACAAATGCTCGTATTCATCACACAAACATCTGCCCCCACCGGGATTCGAACCCAGGACCTCTCGAGTCGGCGACACCATGAAACCCGGCGTACAAACCACTCGGCCACGGAGGTAGTCGTGTTACCTATAACTTACTTGTTACCTATAACTTGAATTCGCAGAGCAATATTAACCACATCTTACATACGGTCCTTTTTTATATTGTCGCCAATTTACAGCCATTAGCCACCATCAGGTTGGGCCATACGCTTACTTGACATTTTTTTAACATAAAAATTCTTTACAGAAAAGACTAAGTGCTCGTGAGATATCAAAAATATATATCGTACCCAAATCTTAAAAAACTATATAAAATTTCTATTTCTTCTTTCAAATGTTTAATACCTGTAAAGGTATTCATTTGAAATTTTGTGTTTTCTACAATGCGAAGAGATGGCGCTTCCTTGCAGCCTAAGTAGGGCTAGAGAAAATTCGACACGGCCACCAGGGCCGCGGTAACATATTGGTCAGTGCATTCGCGCGGATAGCGAAGGGTGCGGGTTCGAGTTCCGTCTGCTGCCTGGTCATCCATAAACATTAAAAAATATAAGTAGTTTATTAGGATTGGACAATTAGGGCTCATTTCTCGAACACTGGATAAAATTTATCTGTCTGATATCATATAATACGGACAAAATAAAAACTTGGCTTCTGTTAATTGGTGTAATGTGACGGATGACCTCTCTGACTGAATCTCTCTGTATTTGATTGAGTATTCATTTATTCAACAGTACCCCTAGCACGAACCAATATCGAATTCGAATCGTTTGCGAGTCCGAAAAAATTCATTCCATACAAAATTTTACATTGACATTTCGGTTTGCAAACTATTCGAATTCGATAATGATTCGTGCTTGGGGTACAGTTAAGTTTTATCCGAGTTTTCAAAAATCGGTTCTTACTTAATACTTCAATATAATTACTTCTAAGTTATCACTATACTATCCCTACACTCAAAATAATCGTGTGTAATCAAATCTGTCATTCAAACAAAACAACGTTGAGCTGCTCGTAAAAAGTTCATTGTTGCTTATCTTACGACAGCGCCTTTTCATGTGGTACAATAAAGACTGAGATTAGCTGAGCTGGTGTCATTGGTATTATGGTCTCAACTGTAGGCATCTAAAACGGGGCGGTATGAGTGCCGCCGGCGGGCGCCCGCCGTTACGGCAGCAGTAATTAGCGGCGGAAAAACTGCGCGATATGGCGCGAGACGAATCGGGCAGCGGGCTTGCCGAACACGACGCCAAGGAACGAGCTATTATGAAAGCACACTGCTTGTTGACTACGACGGTTTAGATCAGAGTACCCCAAACTTTTTTGTGTCGTAGACCTCTTGCCATGTCTTTCCGTGTTGGGTAGACCCCCTACTTACCTGATATTGATTTTTTTTCGCTGACGTAGACCCCTTGCAGGTTGTCATAGACCCCTAGTGGTCGATATAGACCACTTTGGGAATCACTGGTTTAGATTTACAGCAGTAGGTACCCGTTTGGTCGTAGTTGACGAAGAACTTTGATGATTCATTTCTGTGTTGTAGCATTCGCCAGCGTTCTGTGTTTCCTCTGTCCTACAATCTGGGGTCTTTTATAGGAGGTGCGAAGAAGCATCTCTGCAGGCCAGCAAGGTAA